GGTATTGACCTTGATACTCCTTAGTTGTTGTGTTGTGATGGAAAAATAAAGTTATACAGTTTAACACTTCCCCCCCCCCATTGGCGCTACAGCCCTCATTTGGGCCTAGGCCTACCTCCATGAAACTTTCCGTTTCACTTCAGTTTACTAGATCTTACACATACGGTAGGACTCCTTGGGCGAGTGATCAGCTCATCGCAAGGCCTCTACCTGTAGACAAACAGAAAAACGCACGCAAACATCCATACCCTGAGTGGGATTCGAAACCACTATCCCGGCTTCTGAGCGAGCGAAGACAGTGTATGCCTTAGACCGCTCGGCTACCATGACCGGCTTAACAGAGTTTACTTTGTTCTTTTAATATGAACACATACCAGCATATTGTGAGACTAGAAGTCCAGCTGCGGACTCAAGAGTATTGGTCCGTAGGTCATCCAGAGATGCAAGTCCAAGCCAATAATGTTGTCCACTGCGGTCTGCAGGGCCTGTGCTTCTCGTGACCAGACCAGCAGTAAAATTGTTTTCAGCAAAGGACTCCACTACTACCAAGTCACTCCCATACCTGTAATTAAGAAGTTTAAATTTAGTAAATAATTCAGATGAACAGATTTTTCTGTAGGTTGTAATGATAATGTATGACCTACTGACTCGTAAAATATAATGACAATTGTTTGGAGTTATTATGAATCATGAATCAGATTACCTTAGCATCATCATAAAGATTTAAAGAAATTCCGAAACACAAACATTTTTATGCATATATTTACCTTTGGATTTCAGTACTGTGGATTTCATATGATTTACAAACCCACACTCTCTGTAATAACTGATGAATCCTGTGTGGCAAATGCAAACAAATAAGGAGAACCTCAAACCTTATATATGTACTGAAGAATACAGTGGTCCAGTGGACTTGATGGAAACATGCTGACTGGACTTAGCACACCATGTCTTCTGATCTCTTTGACTACCATGTATTGGAATATAATAAGAATATCCCTTAGCATTGTAGCCTCAGTTTTGTCTTGTACATCTGTCTCTGAGAAGGGATAAATTGGCCTATTTTTTAATACAAACACACCATTCTCTTAGACAGACTACAGAAAGACATGAAAAACCTGTGAAGACACAAACTATCAAGTTTCATGTGTAATGTGATAAAGATTGCTCACTTCATCATAAATGTTGCAATAATCAGCACACAACATAAGAGAATTATTAAACAAGGGTATGAAAGTGTACTCTGATGCATTATGTGTTCCTGTGCATTCTTTGTGAACTATCTTCTACAGAGTTTACTTGAAAGCCTGCTGCAAATAATTCAGCTGGTCCAGCAGAAAAATAGAGGCACCTACTGTCAACTATTTCCCTGTATGTCTAGATCCACACTGCAATCAACAAATTCACAGGACACCAAATTAAGGGAAGGGAAAAAAATCTCAACCGAATCACAGCAAATGCCACAAATAGTCCATGTCATTATGCACACATTCCTTATGCTTCAGTAAACTGTTCACATGTTTACTTCCTTGTTCAGAAACTGAGTAGACCCAAAACTATAAACTTTAGTCTCCTCTGCAAAGTGTTTATAGGATTTTTGAGAGAAATGTTCATGCCTTTACCGGTTTTACCCAATTTCACAAAGCACTTAATTCAGATATTATTTATCCAATGATGACCCTTACTATTTAAATTTTTACACCTGGCTGAACAGTTTTTCTTTTTGGAGCTGTAATGTCCTGAAATTTATGTTCTAATCATATTTTCACATGGACACTGTACATGAATACTCATTTCAATGTGAGAATCCCTGTTCAGTTTCAACATAGAAGCAACTTAAATTATAATTTTTTTAATAAAATAGCAGGTTTGGAATTATGGTCCACAGACATGTAACACATAAACTTATTTTATGGTAGATGTGCAAAGATTTTTTGGGGCCATATTGAACAGAAATTATAAGGACAGGGGTGGTCTCAAAGCTCCTAGAGCTGTCAAAGAATAAAATAATGTCACGAGTTCCATGAGCCAGAATCAAGAATTACTCTGTTGGAGTGGTCCAGCAGTAATTTAGCAGTCAGTCAGTCAAAAATTGTAATGTACGTGAGCTGTTAACCTGCTGAACATATCACGAATCCAAATGTGCACAATGTGAGTCAATGCCAGTAGCAAATTGATTTGCAGCGGCTCTCAGATGAACTCCCTGCACAATCTTTATGCTAATGCTTTATGTCTTGATGTCTTCATCATTTTATGTTGTCTAATGTTTGAAGTTTGATAAATGTCATGCATTCATCATTTATTAATTTCTAGACTATCAGAACAAGTCTCAGCACCTTGAATTCTAAACAACAGACTGGCACAAAGTACCATAAGCGGCAAAATCATGCCACGGTAGAAAATAAGATGTCGAAGTAACTGGGGACGTGGCTAGAGAAAAGTATGTCAAACACTCAAATTACACAAATAATTCACCTCTCCAATTAGTGTGTGACAGTGACAATGATAATTATCATAAAAATTCAGTGGCTTCAGCGTCAGGTGGTAAAGACCAACACACTGATCTGAGGTCTGAACCTGTTCATTGATTATGCATGTTGACACTGAGAATGGCTGCAACCGGCAACAAAATTCAACAGTATCACAAATCAGTTCTAATGATCCATCATCCTAGCCCTGTATAAACAGCAACACCAGCTGACACTTTATCAAACATGGATCTGAGCAAAGAAAAACTGTAGATTTTCATGCATCAACACTGAGAGGATGAGGAAATTTTTAGGTTCTAACAGTGAAACCGACAGAGCAGTTGACACATTTACTCTGAAAATAGTAAGTCAATTGCTGTTTTCCATGCACATCGTTTGATCGGCCCTTTTCGGAACAGAATATTTCATATCAGAAAATAGGATTAAATGACTGGAAAAATTTAAACCGTATTTTAAGACATGAAAATTCAACTAATCATCCTAAAAATTTTTGTGGATGAAAATCTATACAAAAAGATATTTTTGCAGACAACATATCGATGATGCACTACAGCAAGCTACTGAAACTAGTAAATGGAAATGGAAACATATTAAGAGAATAACTCTTGATGATTTTATTTTATGTGCCAAAAGTAATTTACCAATTAGAGGAAGGTGTAGAATTGCAGAAGCCCCAATTCGGGAAAATTCCTTAATCTTCTGGAACTTGAAAATCATAATTGTGTTGAACTAAAACAGCGTATACTAACACAAAAAGGCTCAGTGAGCTGTTTTTCACAAAAATTACAAAATAAAATTATCATGTTAATAGCAAACCATGCCTGTGGTAAAATTATACCGAAAATAAAAAAAAAAAACGAAATATTATTCAGAGCTTGTGGACTGAACACCAGACATATCACATCATGAGGAAATGCCCAGAATGTGAAATACGCGAAAATCGACAACGGAATTGTATCTACAAATATAGGATAAAGTTTTGTAGACTTCGGTAAAACCAAGGAAAAATCAGGAAAGACGATTAACTGAATAAACAATAAATAAGCTTGAAAAGGGTGGAACTAATCTCCAAAATGCGGGGCGCCAAGGGCATGATAACGGAGCAAATATGTGAGGCACTTACAAAAGCGTCAAATTTGTCATTCTGCAAAATAAGCAAATAGATAAGCGAACTGTGTGCGTGTTCAGCTCCTAGTCTCCATTTGGTTGAAACATATGCGGCTTCTCTCAGTTATTCTAAGCTCTTATACTTTGGCAGCATAAAGAATTACATTTTTTTCTTTTTCCAATTCTACTTCTCGCTGGGACACAATATTTTAGTTGGTGTGACTCTTCTGTGGTCTAGTGGTCAGAGATCCTTGCTACATATCCAGAGGTCCGGGTTCGATTGCCGGTGCTACCAGAGTTTTCCTGAGAAGTATTGGGTCTGAAACGGGGTCCACTCAGCATTGTGATGATAATTGAGAAGCTAGTTCAAGGAAATGCCGGCTCCGGTCTAGAAAACCGAAATTAAGGGCCGTGGGGATTCGTTACGCTGACGATGCGACACCCTCTATCCGCTAAAGTTGGCACTATTTTCCCAGACAAGAGGCGGTCGCTCGGTCGGTATAGCTCGCTTGCGGACTAAAACCATGGAGTTTATTTTTTTGTACTGAAAGTATCATTCAATGCTCATGCTGATGGTCATCAAAGCCATTTCAATCGCATATTTCAGAAGTTACTAAGGTCATAAAAAGAGTTGCTGTTTCACTGGAATGCTTTTCAACAGCTAAAAGCCTGTTAGGAATACTGGGCACGTTATCATAATATCCTAACTCATATTACCAGAATGAACAGAGCCTTAGAAGGAAACGGCATTTCTTTGAAACAGACCAGTGGGAGTGACAGCGGTATGATAAATATCATTATTGACTGTAAGAAAATAGGAGAATATAAAAATCACAAAATTTATGGAACCCAGAAAGCGAAAACATAAAAGGACGCAGTTTTCTCAGTCGGAAGACGAAAGCTGTACCTTATCAGCTGAAGAGTATTTCAAAATACAAATAAAAGCCCTATTTGACCGCACATTATTTAAGTTAAACGCGGGATGTGGAACTTTAAATGAGATAAATTCTGATTTTCATTTTATCTCGAGAGATTCATTTATTGCAACGAACACCGAATCTCTTCAAAAAGCAGCAGTGGATTTAAGTCTTAAACGTGACAGGGAATTGAATTCCTCTGAAATTTCTATCCTTTCCTTGGGCGTAAATTTAGTTCCAGCTCTGCTTAAAGATTACGTACAATTCTTATCTTGAATTTTGTAATATCCATCTTGTACTGAACTGTTGCTGCAGAAAGGAGGATTAATAATCATTAATGTAATGTGTGAAGTCGATGAAAATAAATGGGCATGCAATGGCGCTTTCTTGTATTTGTTGAGAATAACGGACACGATGCATCCGAATTTGACACAGTTTTATGCAGCGATGATTTGCTACTTCGTAAATGACAGTGATAAAATGACTGTTTTGTCCTCCTCGCGTTCTAAAACTATCTAATGACAGAAGCACGAATTGCGGTATTGTTACTAGGGTGTGTACTGTTACGGGAGCATAATTTAACCCCGTATTCCGTTAAATTTATGCCATGCCGAAAATGTCTTCATATAGAAATTCTAGATATTAATGCGGCCTGCAATAAGTGTCTAACGTTATGATGTAGCACCACTTACAGTTCAGTTTGCACTGCATTACGTTTTGGTGTTTCAGTATGGCACAAACCGATTACAGTGGCTGCGCCATCTAAGATATGAAATGTCTTCTCCCAAACACTGGGATCATAATTTCGAATCCTACTCTATACATGTATGTCTTCAGAAATAATTTATTCTGAGATTTTAATCTTATAGACAGTCGGTAGGGCACCCTGAACAGGTGATCGGCTCGTCGCAAGGCCTCTACCTATACGGGTCAATACATACACAGACAGACGTCCAACTTTCGAGTGGTATTCGAAACCAAGGTCTCAGTGTTTGAGCGAGGGAAAACATTTAATATCTTACAAGGCGCACTTGCTGTAAAATCCACAG